GGGCCCACTGCTGTTACTGCCACCCTCACCTTGACAACCTCCAAAGGTACTACATCCTCTGCAGTGCTCTGGTCCATAAAGGGATGCAGGTCCTTCTCCAAGTCATCATAGCACGCACAGGCCCAGGCTTGGGTAATTTCACTCAGTTGACAAGAGGGAAACACTAAGAAGACCAAACTGGGTCCAATATATAGTGCTCGGGTGATGGGTACACCAAAACCTCACAAACTACCACTAAAGAACTTACTCATGTAACCAAATACCACCCATTCCCCAAAAACCTACGGAAGTAAAAAGTATAAAAGAAATTAGAGAAAGTTTAGAAACACTCAACTTCAGACATGTGCAACCTGGGATCCCCACAAGGCTATCTAGCAGCCTGTTTAGAGGATTCTTTATCTCTGGGAGTATCTGTAGCCCTCTTCTTACTCTATGTGTAATGATATCCATGCCCAAGCCCTCCAATATCAAGCACATATATCCAGGAGACTCAAATCTCCATCTCTAGCACATACCTTTCTCCTAAGCATCAGATGTGAAAATCCCACTGCCCACTAGACATCTCTGGCACCTCGCATTGATCTTTTCTTTAAAATGGACTCTTTAGCTGCTGCAGATAACTCCTCCTCCTTCCATGTCGCCACCTCAGTGACTGGCACCATAATCCATCTGGGGGCCCATGTGCCCAATGGGAGAGGCAGACCTATCCTTCTCTTCTTTATCCAGTTTGTCTACCAGCGTCTGCTGAGTCTATCTACTATTTCTCAAACCTGTTCCCTCTCTCTGCCTCTCTCTCTTTCTCTCTCTCTCTCTCTCTTTATATATATATATATATATATATATATATATTTTTTTTTTTTTTTTTTTTTTTTTTTTTTTTTTGAGACAGAGTCTCACTGTGTCGCCCAGGCAGGAGTGCAGTGGCACAACACGGGCTCATTGCAACCTCCACTTCCCAGGTTCAAGTGATTATCCTGCCTCAGCCTCCCAAGTAGCTTGGATTGCAGGCATGCAACACTATGCTTGGCTAATATTTTGTATTTTTAGTAGAGACAGGGATGCACCATGTTGGCCAGGCTGGTTTCAAACTCCTGGCCTCAAGTGATCCACCTGCCTCAGCCTCCCAAAGTGCTAGGATTAAAGGTGTGAGCCACGGCGCCCGGGCCTGTTCCCTCTTTAAATGATGCTTTGTAGACAATAGCTCATCCACTAACTGTGGAAAATATCATATAAGACAATAAATAGTAAAAATAAAAACAGTACTCTTAGAACTCAAACAGGCTATCTAGTTCCACGATGACTCCTTACTTATTCTTTCTTGCTGGGTCCCATATAACATCAGGTAACCATAGGTCCTTACTATGAGGACAACACTCAAAACCTCTCCTTCCCATCCTAACTACTCTACTAAGACCCTGCCCTTGAAGACTTCAAAGATAGCTTTTGTAAGTCATCTCCTTCTTACTCCCTTAAGACAGTCAGTGCTATAACTAAATGTTTGTGTCCTTTCCAAATCATGTTAAAACCTAATCCATTTACAAAGTGCAGGATTCACCCCATACTGGCTCCATGAAAAGCCAAACCTTTCCCCCAAGGCATCTGATGCCCACTCACAGTAAGGGGCAGTCTGCATCATCTGCAAGTAGCAAGCAAGCCAGTAAAACACGGTTCATTCCAGTTTGCTCTGCACAGCTGGGAGAAGGGGCAGGACAAGAGACACACAACTCAGACCAGTTGTGGTCAGTTCTTCCCTGGAGAAAGGTGAACTTCCAGTTAAGAGGCTACAACCCTGGATATAAAACAGAATAGGCCCCAAGATGAGCGAGTAAGAAGAGTTCAGCGTTGTCCAAGTGGAGGAATGAAGTGAATTCATAGGCTGGGAGAAGGAGAGGAGGTTCCTCTCTAGGTCTAGGAGCTGGGACAGGAATGGTAGAAAGGTCCTATAGCCTGCTCTACATACCAGAGAGCCTGGAGGGCCTGTCTATGATCTGGAAGCCTACTGGAGCAGTGACTGAGAGAGAGGACATCCCAGATTCTGGCTCTGGATGCCAAACACAGTTTGGCAGTTTGAATTCTTGTACCTGTTCTAAGTCATTTCCCTTTAGGCAGGAAGGAATTGCAAGGGGTAAGCTGGAGGGAGAAGATTAAGGATGAAGAATTCATTGTCAGCTTCTGCCACCACAGCTGTTGGGAATCACGCTCAAAATCCTAAGGAAATTGAACACTCAAAGAAAGGATCCTTAGCAAAGCAGTTTTACTTCTGTGCAGAGGGGTGCTTCTCCTTGGCCAGTCGCCAGGAGACCACACCTGAACAAAGGGGCAGGAAAGCCTTTATTCCTGACGCATGTCCTGCCCCTGTACCCTCTCCCCATTGGCTGGGGTCGGGTTGCACAATTTGAACTAATCCTGGATGGGTAAACATTTGAACTTTCTTTAGATAGGGTGGGCACATAAGGGAGAGAGGGGAAAAGGGGAAAGGGTGTCTGCAATGAGCTAGAGAGCTAGTCTTCTTTCCAAATAAGGAAAGGAATGTGAGCTGGTACTGATAAGCCTGGTACTATGGCGTGTCTGGGCATGTAGCAAAGGCAGAAAGGAAAAAAAGAGAAAAAGGAAAAAGGGGTGGGGGAGTACTATGAATTAAAGAATAAAGTATTGATCAGGCTATTTGAAGAGAAACCTCATCATAGCCCACACAGCTAAGGCAGGGAAGCCACCATGAAGTAGCTGATTCTGATGTTACATGTGTTTAAATCATTTTGCCTATCAATGGATGCAGGGAATTGCCTCTTCCCTGCTTTCTTTATTCCACAGAAAGGTACATTTTTTAAACCAAAGTTTTGCTGACCATTCCTCCATCGTTAAACACTTGCTAAGTGCCTGCATCATGTCTGACTCTGTGCTGGGCACTGGAGACACAACAGCAAATGGGCACCAGCCTTGCCCAACAAGGTTTGTCCGGACTGCAAACAGCAGTGTGCACTACAGGGTGGTGCTCAATACATTCTTCGCATGTAGAGTTAAACATTGTGACCAGGTTTTTCCTTGCATACATTTAATAAGTACAAATTCTGTCAGGAAATTACATTTAAATATAGGAATAAAAATGTAATCACAAACCTGTAGGTGCCTCATTTGTCAAAGTCAAAGAAACATTGGGACTATTCTCCTGATAGAGCTGTGTGTTTTGCTTTTCCCACTTAAATTCTCATTGTGAACATATTTCATGCATAGAGAGTTTATACATTTTTTCCAGGTTTTCTCTTCAAAGGCCACACCTTCACTGGAGCTAATCCCCACGAGTTAAAAACAAAACAAGGTGAGTTCTTCTTAACTCAGATACCTTTTATTTCATTCGTCCATCCATTCATTCATTCAATGACTATTTTCTTGAGCACCCACCACTGGCACTAGACACCGCACCAAGCTTGAGAAATTCAGTGGTGAACAAGACAGAAGTCTGTCTGCAGGGTCCTTGGGTCTAGTGAATTATACCAATCAGAGCTCAGGCTCCCCGAGGTTGGGAAAACAAAGTTTCCCACTCTGGCTTGTCCTTCTTTCTATGTCTCTTCCTTGATCCTAGCAGACTGACATAAAGATGACTCTGCTTTGTTCTTTATCTCTCATGTGCCTTACCTGTGGTTCCTCTACTGAGCATTTCATCTTTTCTACTTTGTTCAAAGGCAAACAACTCTGGCTCTCTCCAGAGGTGGGTTAAATCACCCCTTCCGATCTTTTCAGTTTTAAGTTTAAGGGAGATCAAGTTGTTCAAGGGAGGAGCGCTTTGAGAACTGCCTTCTGAGGGGAATGATGTCAGGCAGCTTCTCAGACACAGGTGTCCTTACTTTGTACCATGATGTCCTGCCAATCTGACCCTGATGAATTGGATTAGGAATGAATAACTGAATAAAAAGCAGTCATTCAAAGACTGACGAGAGATTTATAGGGTGGTCTGGCATCAGTCTTCCCTACATGGATGTGAGTGACTAATATCAACTCTTTCTAGGGAATTTAAGAATTAAAGATAGCAGAGAGAGACAGAGAGAGAGAGAGAGAGAGAGAGAGAGAGAGAGAGAGAGAGGCAGAGAGACAGAGAGAAAATATGAGAATATAAGGGGGAGGCAGAAGCTTAAAGACACACCAAAAGAAGGCAATACTCAGAAATGAAGCACTTTATGAGTTATGAGTAAGCAATAGCCTGCAGCATCTTCAACACATGAAGTAGAGACAGGGAGTCATTGGGCCACCAAAATAATGGTGCAGAGATAATTCTAGAATCCCTGCTCAGCCACCAGATCTATTAGCATTACCACTAAAGCTATTATTATTCCACAAATCACTCAAATCTCTGTAAGGTCCATCTATGCAGCTGTCCTCACCTTCCTTACTTGCCCTCAGTTCAGTGATAAACTCTATTATCTAAGGGCGACCTAAGCATTTAGTTTTCCTTGCATTTTAAAAGAGCTAAACTGACAAAAAAATCCACCTCCATCAAAAGCCATTGCTTCTTCATTCCCAGAGTCAACATTTTATATACTCCCTAATCCAGAGGCTGGATTCTGGGTCTCCCGCCTCTGCCTGTGTGCACTCTGTGTGAGCACAAAGAACACGATGACTTTCCCTAGGTGTTGATCCGTGATGTAAAACTTGAAATGCATTAGGTAGACTCAGCACCCTAGGGTAAAGTGAATAGGCTTGCTGGCAATTTCTCCTACATGCTGTGAGATAATTTCTATTGATCAAAGATGTCATGAGATTTGAGAAAGGGAGCACTGGACAAACAGGGCGCATGAGGTTAGAGGAGATGTCTATGACATTCTCAGCTGAAAAATGGGGATAATATATTACCTAAGAGTTGTGAGAATAAGCAAGCTACCTTATTTCTCACAGCAAAGTAACTACACTTAAAAAAGTTGTGTGTTGTGATGATTTGAGAACAAGTACAGCACTTTCTATACACCAGACCATGCTGCCTTCACACAAGACTGATAAAACAGGCCCACCTTGCCAGCCAGGCTTGCAAACTGGCTTCACATCCACCTGCACCAGGGTGTCCTGAGCAGCGGGCTTCTGTCCACAGTCGTAGGCGGTCACCAGGATCTCATACTGGTGTTGTTTGTCATAGCTCAGCTTCTCAGTGTTCCTGATGTTGCCTGAGGAACAGAGATGTTCAAAAGCATTTCAGCTCGATTTAATGACACTGTACTTCTCACAAATCTCTTCTCCACTCCACCCACCTTCACAGAAAGAAAGTGACCCTTTTCCTTATCTCTTTGTAAAAACAAGGGCAAACAGGAGCATGGCTCCACTTGCAGCCTGCTTATGCTTTGGTAGCAAATTCCTGGGAACCCACTGGCTGAAGCCACGTAGCCGTGCAATAGGACTGCCAGGGAATTTCGAGTGCACGCCTGGAATCCAGCTGGCTTGTGTTTATAAGTAATGGGCTGCCAGAAGACTTACTCCTAAAGTACAGCCATGTGATTGTGTCCCTGACGTAGGGCAAAGACCATTCATCTGCAAGGATATCTCTGGGAAAAAGATGGAATTCAGAAAATGTCCTGACACATATTTTTTCACATCTGGGCTTGTCGCCAGGAATGTTCACTGCCTCATCTCACATTATTTTGCTACCAAATAGGAAGTAAGATCAATGAGAAAACGTGTGACCTCCTTCTGAAAGTGACACAGAATAACACACTTCTTGCCCCGAAGAAGACATTTTTCTTCTCTAAGAGATACCAAGTAATTTTTTTTCAGAGTTGTTTGTGTGCTTTTGTTTCTGTGCGTTTCATATTATGGTTCTGAAATAAATATTTGGTAATTAATGAGCAAAATTTTAATTCATTATTTTTTGCTGAAATACAATTTTAGTTCCAGAGAACTAATAAAGACCTAAAATGCATTTAATACTTTTAAGCTTTTAATTCTAAGAGATTAAAGTATTTTGCTGAGAATAATTTCATTCCTATTACATTTTTTCTGGTGGCAGAGTTGACAGCAAATTAGAACTCAAATGTTATCATCTTTTACCAGAAACTAAATTTTAAACATTGAAATCAAAAAACAAATCAACAAAACAGGCCGGGTGCAGTGGCTCACGTCTGTAATCCCAGCACTTTGGAAGGCCTAGGTGGGTAGATGGCTTGAGGACATGAGTTTGAGACCAGCCTGGCCAACATGGTAAAATCCCATCTCTATTTAAAAAAACAAAAATTAGCCAGGTGTGGTAGTACACATCTGTAGTCCCAGCTACTCAGGAGGCTGAGGCACAAGAATTGTTTGAACCTGGGAGGTGGAGGTTGTAGTGAGCAGAGATTGCAGCACTGTACTCCAGCCTGGGTGACAGAGCAAGACTGTCTGAAAAAAAAATAAAATAAAATAAACAAAGAGGGAACGGCTGACCCATATATATGTGTATTTTTTGAGAGCGAGTCTGGCTCTGTCACCCAGGCTGGAGTTCAATGGCATGATCTCGGCTCACTGCAACCTTCCACTTCCTGGGTTCAAGTGATTCTCCTGCCTCAGCCTCCCGAGTACTGGGACATGCCTGGCTAATTTTTATGTTTTTTTGTAGAGATGGGGTTTTTTCCATGTTGGCCAGGCTGGTCTTGAACTCCTGATCTTAGGTGATCCACCTGCCTCATCCTCCCAAAGTGCTAGGGTTACAGGCGTGAGCCAACACACCCGGCCTGACTCAGGTGTATTTTTATATTTCATCAAAACTAAAGAAAAATTACCTAAATGAGCTTTCTTCTATTCTAACTGCTGTGTATTGTTTATGCATATTGAGAGAACATGGAATGAAACAAGAAAGCTTGGAAAGTTAGAAAATTCAAGTAATTCTTTAAAGATCAGAAAAAAAAAAAAAAAAAAAGGTCCACAATTAGGCAATATTAGTGAAACAGTATTGGCACCAGGCCATGAGCAGGTGCTGCACATGTGAATCTATGTGAGGCTGGGAGGAGCAGGAAATGGGAAGTAGGAGGAGCAGATGCTGACTGATGTCTAGGAGGGAATACGAAGTTGCCCAAGACACTGGATCAAGAGTTAGAATAATCAGCCGGGCGCAGTGACTCATGCCTGTAATCCCAGCACTTTGGGAGGCTGAGGTGGGCGGATAACGAAGTCAGGAGTTCAAGACCAGTGTGGCCAACAAGGTGAAACCCTGTCTCTACTAAAACTACAAAAATTAGCTGGATGTGGTGGCAGGCACCTGTAATCCCAGCTGCTTGGGAGGCTGAGACGAGAGAACCACGTGAACCCGGGAGGCGGGCAGAGGTTGCAGCGAGCCGAGATCAAGCCACTGCACTCCAGCCTGGGCAACAGAGTGAGACTCCGTCAAAAAAAAAAAAAAAAAAAAGAATTAGAATAATCTATTCTGCTATCTTCTCTGGACTATTTCTAAAAATACAGCTTCATCCACCAATATGAGATAGAATTTAGTTAACAAAGTCAGTCAAAAATATCTGAATAAAAACACGTTTGACGTGTTTCTAGCTTAGTGACTGGTGTTCGAAATCCCTTTCATTTTCCTCAGTTACTGTTTCCCTCTCAGTTCTGAGGGCCCGCACAGGTCTGGAGTGGCCCAGTATTGGTTGGTAACACTCCCCATGGATTCTGCTAACAAACTTACATGTGGTTATAGTTATCACAGGGGAGGAATTCTGTCAGGTGGAAGCACTATAATATAACCATGAGAAGTATATTTTCACAACATCACATTGAATTTTGAAAAAAAAAAATAACTTCCTTTAAAATTAAATGGCTCTCAAAAGGTACTCCTCTTACAAAAGGAAGACTCAGAGTTTACAATGTGTACAACATTAAGCAGACCAAACACTATTGATTATGGTAGAAAAATAAACACACAAGCTGAATCCTCAGCTCAATTTGTTGCAGCTCTACTTCCATAACAAGTCTTAATAAAACTGTCTGAGAAACTAATTTACCTTCTCCACTACCACCAACTTCGTGCATGTGAAAGTGAGTTTCAAAGCACAGAATTTAAAGCATTAGGTCAAAACTGAGGGTACAGTATTGTGACCAATTGTTGCATGGGAGAAGGTCATATTTCGATAAGATACACATTTAAAATTTTTTGAAAGTTCAGAAAAGTAACCTGTTTTGCGTCTGTTGCAATTGTATCTTTTTCTCCCATATTTGAATGATTTTTCTACCACTATCTTCTCAGGAGACCTAATCCCACAGTTAACCATGGTGAACATAAGTCCCTGGAGCTATTTCTCCAAATGAACTTGAGAAATTTACCTTTAAAGAACAACCAGTCCCTACCTTGCGTATTAGTTTAGGTATTTTTTAAAAAAAACTCTGGGAGAGTAGGGGCTGAGGGGATGAAACAGACGTACTGACCAACACTCTTCTAGTAGAATTTGAATTGGAACAACCTATCTGGAAAGCTACTTGGCAATATATGCCAGTCAGTTTGAAATTGCTCATACCTTTTGGGAGTGCAATTCCTTCTCCAAAAATTGATTCTAGAGAAATGATACAATTGCAGATATATGTGCAAATATGTTCATCTAGTATTTATTACACTGAAAAATAGCCTGACACTGTAAGGGAAGAGCTAAGTAGAACATCTACGCATAAGATGGATTGTTGCTCAGCAGTAAAAGTGGTGATTATAAAGAATGTTTAAAGATGGGGAAAATACATGTAATTAAATGTTAAGTGAAAAAAGGGAGGACAGACAAATGCAAGGATATTGTGGTCCTAATTTTGTTTAAAAACTTTACAGAAAAACTATTGGTAATTTGGCAAACAATGGTTTAATGGTTAACTGTTAATACTGGTTACTTTGGCAGGATTATAGGTGACTTCATACTTTTCTGTGCTTTCTGAATTTCCCACACAAGGCATATAACACTTTTCCATTCATATGGGAAATAAACATTTTCATTCACTTTAAGAAGGAGCAGGCTTTAGAATACATTTGGCTCAGAAGCATGAGTCCTGTTATTCACTAGCGCAGCTTTCTGAGAGAGAGAGAGCCCAGCTGAGGCTGCTTGAAGACCAAACAATTGCTTCAAAGTAAAAAATCTGCCAAGTGGTAACTGGGTTTTGTTGAGAGCCTACCGCTCCCTCCTCTGTCATTCTCTAACATGGCTGAGTGGCTGCCTTGTGCCAGAGGCTCTAATATTTTGTTGGCATCAGTTTAGGTAACAATCACATTGCACAGGTACAATATTTAATTCCCATTTTACCGGTGAGGGTCTGAGAAAAAGTTCAAGTAACTTGTCAAAGACCACACACACACAGACACACACACACGAGTAATGGATGCAAGTGTGGTGTCCACCAATTTGCAGGATTTTTTTCTGGCTTTATGGAGGTATGATTGACAAATAAAAATTGTATATATTTAGGATATATGATGTGATGTTTTAATATATGTATACATTATTAAATGACTACCATGATCAAGCTATTTAACATATGCATCGCATCACATTGTTACCTTTGTGTGTGTGTGTGTGTGTGTGTGTGGTGAGCTCAGTTGAGATCTATTCTCAGCAAATTTCAAGTATATAATACATTACCATTAGCTGTAGTCACCCTGCTGTACATTCTCCAGTATTTATTCATCTTATAGTAATAACTAAAGTTTATATCCTATGATCAATATCTTCTCTTTTCCCCCACTCCCTCCCTAAACACTGGCAACCACGATTCTACTCTCTATTTCTATGAGTTCAACCTTTTAAGATTTCACATATAAGTGATATCATGAGGCATTTGTATTTCTGAGTCTGGGATATTTCACTGAGTATAATGGCCTTCAGGTTCATCCAGGTTGTTGCAAATGGCAGGATTTCCTTCTTTTTTAAGGTTGAATAATATTCCATTGTATGTGTGTATCTCCCACATATTTTTTATCCATTCATCTGTCAACAGTCACTTAGGTTGCTTCTGCATCTTTGCTATTGTGAATAATGCTGCAATAAATATGGGAGTGCAACTATCTCTTCAAGATATTTATTTTTTCCCCGCTGTGGATACATACCCAAAAGTGGAATTGCTGAACCTATGGTAGCTCTATTTGTAATTTTTTGAGGTACATTCATGCTGTTTTCTGTAATAGCTGCACCAATCTACATTTTCACCAACAGTCTGCAAGGAATCCCTTTTCTTC